TTTTACTATGTGTATGTGCGAGTGTTATTGTGTTATCAACTAATATCTGTCTAATATTATGTACATGGCTATGTTTATCTAAGAAATGTTGTTTAATAGAACTAAGATCAGAAAGTGACAGGTAAGTCTACAGGAGAGTGTGGTTGTACTTAAACCAATATATGTAATGGGTTTATTATTAGTATCAGAGATATTGTTAAAATAACTATGAAGTTTAGGACAGTTCAGGATCAGACATAATAGACATTCGTTGTCTGTTATATTTAACTATATATATTTGAATCATGATCTGCTGCCCCAATACACTAAATATATATATATATATATATATATATATATATATATATATATATAAGAAATGTATATTTTTGTACATATATATATAGAATATATATATATATATATATATATATATATATATATATATATATATATATATAACCAGCATGTTTGGTTAAATAATTTAGATGTATTATGTCTATTTATTTTAGTTTTAATCCTTTCAAGTCCAATTAATTTCTTGGTGGCTGGAGAAAATGCTTATTAAAAAATTTCAAAATTTTCTTTCAAATAATTTTTATTTTCCCAAGTACTTTCAATCTCATCTGAGACCATCTTCAGTGTTGCATGTCTATGGATGTGTTATGCATTAACACTGTAAATTCAAAATATTTTTTACTCTATGCAAGGGAGGTACCTCATAAGATTTTTTTTTTTTTTTTTAAAGATTTTTTAATTTAGTATTTTTTATATAACACATTGCTGCTACAAACATTTAAGAACTTTGTTGCTATGCTTGTCGTTGAATTTATTTATTTTGGGCCGCAATTCTCTTATATAAAGGGCTTCCAGAATTTTAAGGTTTTGCTTACTATTATCTTGATGAAACACTGATGTATTTTCAACTAATATCTGTCTAAACTGTGAATGTGGACATGAGTGTTCCTTTAAATGTTCTGAGATTGAACTATGCTCATTCAAGGGAAATGTAAGCCTTCTCATTATCCTCGTTGTTGTAAAACCAACATATATATTAACATTTTTATTAGAGATGCAATCTCCCAAAGGACAATTAAATTGATATATGATATTGGTCTTTTGTAAGATGCTAGTTGATGGAGAAGAGTTATAGATGACTAGGTTGGTTGTATTAAATTTAATATACTATATAATTTTATATTTTTTATTTGGATCAGTGCGTGATTTATTAGTGCTTTTTCTTTTTAGAATTTTTTCTTCCTGCTTATAGTTAGAATGCATTTGATTATGGTATAGTAGTTTGATATGTTTTAAAGTTATTTGATAATGTATTATGGTCATGTTTTCATATTAATATTCTCAATATCTAATTTGTTCATCACTGATGTAATTATGAAAGTCATTATTAATGAGGTGTTATTTCAGTATAAAGAATCTTTCTTGTTGAAGAGTTTGCATTTGCCCAATTTATTAAGTTTTGTATAATAGTTATTTTGTAATCGGTCATTCACTTTTATAGTTGAGAGTGCATGCGTCTATGCTAGTTGTTTTTTTTATATGGGGAAGTAGTAAATGTATAATTTTTAGTGTCTATCAGTACATCAAGAAACGGGATTTTATTGTCATTAAGTTTATATGTGAAATTAAGTAGAGTTTTTTTGGTGGGGGTTTTTGTTTTTTTTTTTTTTTTTGTAGTTCATGTATTTCAACTAAAATGAGAATGATATACATATGTTAGGTAAATGGAGATTTTTTTTAGTGGTACTAAGTATGTTATTTTCTAGGTTAGTCATTTAGAAGTTGCTAAATGTTAGTCCCAGAACAGAACCCATGGAAACACCATTACATTGTATGTATATGTTATTTTGGTCACAGAAAGGAATTTCTGTGGTGCACATCAAGAGTAGTTTTCTTAAGATATTAGGACTAATTTTTAATGGAGGGAGAGATGGATTGTTGTAGATATTCTTTATGATACATAAATATATAAACCTAACTTTCTCTCCATCTTGTCATATCTCAAATCCCTACTTCTGTTTACCAACTAACCAAAGTTATTAATCAACTAATCACATCATATATACCCTATATATATACAGCATTCAATCAACACATGAACTACTCCAAATTATAAAAACAGAAAAGCTTATTAATGAAAGCCTAGCTTCACTTGATGTTGAAAGTTTATTCACCAACGTCCCAATCAGGGAAACAATAGATATAATCATAAAGGCAGTCATGACAAATTAAGGCTTGTGCTATAAGTTTAAAAATCTGTCCAGTTTAGAGTCACACTCATTCAATGTACAACTAGGTCTTACAACCATTTCTTGTAATAGTCATACTCAACAGCAAGGTGGCACTCCTCATAATGTACTTTATATGTACTTTTATGATACTTTAAAAGATAATTATATTCTGTTCATTTGAATCATTGCCATAAAATAATACTTTGCCTATTTGTTAGGAAAGCAAAGTAGGTTCTATCCTCATTCATTACTCTATGAATGTCTTTATAAGAATGTTGGATTGCCCAACACATTTCTATATACTCTGTCTATTTATATCTATCTATCTATCTATCTATCTATCTATCTATCTATCTATCTATCTTTATATATATATAGTTACCAGTCACAACGGCCAAATACTCTATTAATTTAAAATTTTTTTGTCTTATTGCTTCAAGTGATGAGGTGAGTATGGTTCATGTAAATGTCTAAAATTTCAAATTGTGAATGGAAAGTCATTTTGGATTATGAATGTTTTGTTTTCATGATAAGTGAATGATTTTGTTACTTGTATTGTGTTGCATTCCATTGTATGATTTCATTATTTTTCTCTCCTTCATTTTATTTCTCTATTCATCAACAGCACGACATGTATAATTAATGATTATAAAAGATCAAGCTCAATTGAAATCATGTACTTATTGGCAACCAGTTTACATTTGACTGAATTTTTTTATTTTTCAATTCTGTATGGATATACTGGTAATAGTTGAAAAAAATCACTGGCATTGTTCTTGAATATAGTTCAGATAAACATTTAAATACTTAGAAAACATCTCGGAATTATTAATTATTAATGAAATACCAGTTAAGTTTAACTTATGATCAGGCAAAAAAAATGGTGTTTTAAAAGGGTATTTTTCTCTTGTCACTACTATTACTGAAAACGTCCTCAGTAATTTTTGTTTTCAAAAGCAATTTTAAGAATTGGACTAAAATCATAGCATATGAAACTGAATTTATACATTTTTTTTCATTGAAGAATTGACAACAAAAATGTTAAATTTTGTTTATTCAATTTCGATTTACCAGACTGATTATTTATTCATTTATAATCTGTAATTAGTCATAACTATATGAAAATTAAACTTTTGCGTTTGTTTCAAACATTGTTTTAAAAATGTTTCACACTTTTATATGTTGTGGTTTTATTATAATTCAAAAATAATTTTTTAAAACAATAATTCTCAAGTTTTTATAAGTTAAAAGCAATGTCAAGAGAACAATGTCTTTTTGATGCCATTTTTTGCCTGGTCCTAAGTTAAACTTTACCAAAATATCTGTTAGCTGCATGAGTGTTTTTCGGAGTTACATTCAGTCTTTATTGTAAATTTCTCTGTTGGACAAGAAGTGCGTGTGCACACACATGTGCATGCTGGTGTGTGTTTGTATGTATGTATGTGTGTGTGTGTGTATATATATGTTCTAAGAAAAAACAAGCTAAAACACTGCCACAAGGTGATTCAATCAGCAATCCAAATTTTTGTCTATAATAATTATTATAGTGAAATATCATTAGTTTGTAACAAGTCAGCAAATTTTTATATTACCCATCAGAAAGAAGAGGCTAGTTTTTTATTGTATCAGATTTTTTTTGTTTTTTGTATTTTTATAGATATAATCATTTTTAACAAATACATTATACATAACAATAGCAAAGATTGTGTTTTGCCAAAAATCAGTTAACCATGGTATTTCTAGAAGATAAATGTTTTAAAACAAGCAGTTTTTTTTTTATTTATTTTGGCTCTCTTTAACAAAAAATAGGGCATTAGTAATAATAAATAAATTAAATGTTCACTTGTCTTGATTCTGAGTTTCACAGAATTACATCTACTCTTCAAGAACTTTGCTTGTAAAATTGAGGAAACTTTAATCAAATCTCCTAAATTTTACAATCAGTTCTCCTGAGGAGTGAATGTAATTCCAGAAAACTCAATGTAGAGTCAAATGAACATTTAATTTTCTATCTATCTACTTATCTATCTATCTATCTATCTATCTACTTATCTATCTATCTATCTATCTACTTATCTATCTATCTATCTATCTACTTATCTATCTATCTATCTATCTACTTATCTATCTATCTATCTATCTACTTATCTATCTATCTATCTATCTACTTATCTATCTATCTACTTCTATCTATCTATCTACTTATCTATCTATCTATCTACTTTATCTATCTATCTATCTACTTATCTATCTATCTATCTACTTATCTATCTATCTATCTACTTATCTATCTATCTATCTATCTATCTACTTATCTATATTTTTATATATATATATATATATATATATCCATTGCACCTTGTATGTATGCATATATATATATATTTATCCATTGCACCTTGTATGTATGCATATATATATATATTTATCCATTGCACCTTGTATGTATGCATATATATATATATATATATTTATCCATTGCACCTTGTATGTATGCATATATATTTATCCATCGCACCTTGTATGTATGCATATATATAGTTTTTGTACTTTTTCATTTCCACCAAATGGAAAAATGTAAGAACATTGAAAAAAACTAAAAAAATTCATAAAATTTTTCTTGTCTGTCATATTTAATGAAATGTTTAAAAGAAAGGTTGCTGCCCAAATATACATTAATATATATATATATATATATATATATAAAGGTCAACACCAAATGGCAACAGTCTGTTTCATGCTTCAACGCAATTTTCAGACCACACACACACATATATATATTTATATATTTATTGAATCGATAAATAAAAAGTTCTATAAGTTCAATGACTTACCTTCGAACTTGAAGTTTTAGATGCACAGACCAGTAAAATAAATAATTCCAAAGTAAAAAAATCTGTTGAAATTAACAGATCTCTCTCACTCAAATACACACACACACACACACATGAGAGAAAGAAAAATTGGATAAGATTTTGATGGAATGGAAAATATATAAGACAATATGTACAAATTTAGTTCACCATGTTTCTTCAGAAGAACACTACTATATTAACATGCCAAAAATCTACATATACACTAGGCATCTAAATGCCTCCTTTATTTTTTTTAAAGTTTTGTTGTATCATTATAGAAATTGGATTTTATTGCAAGTAAATTCCCTGAGTATTTTTTAGCTATCACACATAGTTTTAGTATTAATTTAGTCAGAAATGAAGATATCTTGAAATAATCCAATTTTTTTTTTTCATTACTGAGGATTCATAAATCATATCACTTCTACAATGTCTGAATAAACATGTTCACCTTTCATTAAAATGACACCCTTCATCACAGATTTTCTATCAAGAAAGAAAACAAGTGGATTCTGTGTGTTAGTTTGTGTGCAATAATTAATTTTTTTTTTTAAATAATAAAAAAAAAAAGATTTTAGTTAAAATTCAAATTTTATGATGCTATAATTGATTTTAAAAAATCAAGCATTTTGATGTTAACATAAAACCTGTTTAATGTAGATTTAAAATTATTCTGGATTTCTGATATGTCAAGTGATGTTTTTCTACTTTGTTTTATATGTGTGCGTCAATTATACTTGTAATTAGGTTGATGCATATTTGATTAAAGGCAACAAAAAAGCAATGTTTTAATTTTTCACTTCATCTTTCATGTTTACATACAATTGATAAATGGCTAAGATATAAAAATTATCCAAAAGTTCTGATTCAGCGTTTTTGACTAGTTGTTCAGTTACCATTATTATCCAAGAACCCAATAACAAGACAGAACAATTATATCAATATAAAGTCGTAAAATTTATGTGATAGAAAATTCTCATGTATATTTTAAACTCGATATGATAATTATTTTCTTTTCCTATTAAGTCAACAACTTTCAGGAAGCAATTTATCTGTTTCTCTTTGGCATATCTGAATTGTCAACATCACTTTTCAAATTTTTTGGTGGGGCCGGGGGGAACCTGTTTCACATGAACATAAGGGTTAAAACAGAGGAATTCTTAATTTCTCAGGTTGAAAACTGGTAACTGAGGCCACTGATAAAAACGGGTGGGGGTCATTGTATATACAATATTTTTTTTTTTTTTATTATTTGATTTATTTTTTCATGTTAATTTTATAATGTTGTGTTTTGTCATTATGGATAAGTTTAAAAACAATCCCCCCCAAATATTTTTTCTTGTTTTTTAACAAAATATCTTTGTAGCATGAATGTAATTGACTAAGATTATATTTTTGGTTGTATTTTTTTTTCTAATTTGTTGTAAATTTCCCATTGAGATTTGTTTTCCATATTGTGTACAGTAATAGAGATCTGTATGAAAAAATATTCATGTTTTAATTTAAATGTCATGAACTGAAAGGTTTGAATGTTTAAATATACAATAGACTGTGATCATGTGTGTTTGTAGTAGTATATGTTTATATATGTCTGTGTATGTACATGTATGTACTTATATTTAATTCATTTGAAAATTATAATGTAAATATTACAAAATCACTACAAAAATAGCCATTTTGTTTCAACACTTCAGAAATGTTGAAACAAAATGGCTATTTTTGTAGTGATTTTCTAACATATTTATGTTATAATTTTCAAATAAATTATATTTGCTCTACTCTGTATTGAGCACTCTTTTAAGCATAGTATTTTTTGGTTATTGGAATTTATTTCATATACACCAATCCTATACTTGGAGATATATATATATATATATATATATAACTAGAATTAAGAACATTATAAAAAAAATGCTCAACACCAGTAGACAATAGCAAAAAAAAATAGACTATTTATTACAAAAAATTTAAAACCACCAACCTTATAGTTAAAAATAATAAGTCACCTCTTAGAACAAAATTAAATAGAACAAATATTATTTATGAATTTAAATGTCCATTAAGGAATTGTATTCCTGATCAATCAAAATTCGTAAACAGTTATATAGGCCACACTACCTGTTTGAGAAGAAGACTCACACATGTTTCTGATCATAGCTCAATTAGGTCTCATTTGAATACTCATGGAGATCTACTGGACCATATTCACAACATACTTGTTGATAACACAAATATAATAGCATCATCTACATGTAAAAAAAGCAAAAATATTGGAAGTCTTATTAATAAAAACAAAAACTCAACACTCAATAATATCAATTATGAACATTAACACAATGTCTTGACTGTGTTTTGAAAATGAAAACATTATATAAATACATACATACAACAAACTATTTCTTGTTAACAGTTAATATATTTCAACCTTGAAAATGGCTAAATATATAGACGAAAGCGCTCGGAAAAAAAAAGAACAATTGGACAGTTTTTATATAATTTGTCTACTGAAAAGAAAAAAAATTACCACATGAGAAATTGTATAAAAACCTAAATCAAAGCACCTTGTCTGTCATATTCAATGAAACATGCATATATATATATATATATATATATATATATATATATATATATATAGACAACGAATGTCTATTATATTTTATCATGAACCTTTCCAAGCATCATATAATGGCATTAGTTTCAAAAGAAAATAAAGTCAAAAACTGTCCAATATTTGGATATTTCTTCATTATATTGGTGGTTATATGGACATTACAACAGAGATGTTCACTGTCAAAGATGGCATCCTGTTTCGTTTGCATAAAAGTTTGCTATGTGACAATAATGGTCGCGGAACAGCAGAAGCAGGTCATAAATTCATAATGCAGTTCTATGACATTGTATCTGACCATGTGATAGAAAGAAATATTACTGACAGAACCATATGTTTAAATGCACTGTAATATGTTGTAACTGGTTTGAATTGTAATTTTGCATTATGAATTCATGACATGCATCTGCTATTCTGTCACTGATCTTTTGCAGTTCATAATAATATCAAACTCAGAGCTTGATATTATTATGAACTGCAGAAGATATTTTCTCATCCATAACAAATAACAACGGATTATGAACAAGTCTGTTGATCAATTTGATATTTCTATAGGATCATTAGATTCTGCTGAGTCTTCTAACCTTTTTGGTTTATTTATCTTGTATAATGTTAGTGCCTACGATGATATTAACATTGATAATATAGGGTTATATAGAGATGATGGCCTTATATGTTAGTGAAAAATTCCACAAAAATTAAAACTGACAAAATCAGGAAATTAATACATATAGAATTTAAAAGTCTTAACCTTAAATTTAAGATCAACACTAATTTAAAAAAGGAGATTTCCTTGATGGTAGATTAGAGTTTCATAGATGTATTTTTTTTTTTTTGTAATTGTTCAATCTACTCTTCAGGAGGTTTCAGCAATTTCTGCTATTTTTCTCATTTTGCATTTTCTTTGATAATTTTGGTGATATATACTCAAATGGATAAATATAAATAAATGTACATGTAAGTGTTCAAATACATATGCACACACACACACACACACATATATATATATATATATATATATATATATATATATATATATATAAATACCCTATGACAGTACAATTCAGTTTCATGCTCTATGTATGTATGATGGTTGGTTACTTTTATACAAGTTAACCCATATGCCGGGTTGAAATAAATAAACATTTATTAATTTCTCAAAATAAAATAATAATTATAAATTATAAGTAAAAAAAATATCAACAACACAATCACATTTTTCCCCTTGTTTATTTGGCATTATAATCACTTTAGCATTGTCCATAGTCTACCTTGAATTTCACATTTAGCCTAAGGAATATTTATGAACGTTCTTAATTTAAACATTTTTTTAAAAACTTAAGTTTTACTTCTGTTTAAAAATACTTGTTGCAAAATAAAATTCTTACATTTGCCTTGATAAAGTTCATCAGAGGAGTAAAGAAGCATCTGTAAAGAAAAGTTTTCCTTATTTTTTTTTTTTATTTCATATTGTCATTTTACAGAATTATATCTGAATTTTTACACATACACATATATTTATTATTAATAACTCAAACACGTATTATTTTGTTTGATATTTAAATTCCAGAAATTAAATTCACATAACAGTCGTCAGGCGATATCTTTTCAATGGGAGGTAACCAGAATTAACAAAAGTTGTTTCCCTTGATGCAATAATTATTCCTGACCAGTTAAAAGTTAAATTGATACATTTAACAAGTCCATAATATTTTTAAAAATTTTATTAAAATTAAGTAAAGGAGATTTTTTTTTTTATTCTAATTTTTAATTTTTATATTTAGTTTCTTTTTTGTAATCCTATTTATTCATTTTTAGATATAAATTATTGTATGTTAATTTTTTACTTTTTTTGTAGTTTTTATTTTTTGTTTTGTTTTTGTCTATGAATACACTATTTTC